CCAATGTTTGTTGACATGGAGGGGGTGTTATACAGCAACATCTGAAGCCAAAGATTTCCTGAATTAAATTCTTCGCCATTAAGATTAACACAAGTACAGTACTAAACTAGTAAATGCAGGCTTTATGGTCTGCCCCAATCCTATACGTGTCTTCTTACAAGATGAGTTCCAACCAGCTGGATCCAGACTCCCTTCCATGGATAAAACCATTCTTTCCATCTGTGGAACCAACTGTGTGTTCCCCTGCCACTGCCTCTGTGGCCACAACCCCACCCTGCACACCTCTTCTTACAAATTCTCATACTCAAGATTTTCCTCAAACCAGGAAAAAATTGACAAAAGTTATTCCCTAATCCTCTTCCTTCAGATACAATTTAAAAAATTCCTTTCATCATAGTTTTACTTGAAGGAAATCTGCATTCTAATTCCATTAGACCTACCTTACATAACCACAGAACTGTAACCCAAATTTTGTTGGAAGCTGATTTTACTACATCATAAATCAAATACACAAAAATGTACTTATGAAACAAGACTGATGGCTTGTTAACGTGTTTTTACACATCAATTATTTTATATATAGTGATTTGTCTTTTACCTTCAAGAAAAGGATTCCCAACCTTGGGTAACCCAGGTGGTTCTTGGACTGCAATTCCCAGAAGCCTTCATCACCAGCTATGATGGCTGCGATTTTTGGGAGTGGCAGTCTAAGAACAACTGGGTTACCCAAGGTTGGGAATCAATGTTGTAGAACATTACATATGAGTAACAAGGAAAATCTATTTATCTTCTCAGACCAAATTATTTAGGATTAAAAACATTTTACCATATATGCTAAGCAAACCTTTTACTTCAAAATCATCTGAGATTGTAATTATGAGAAGTGTATATGAGAACTTCAATGTGATGACTTTTTACTGCCAAATGCACACAAATCAAAGAATATCAACAAAGTTCAGAGAAACATGCTTGATTACTAATCTATCTCCTAACATAAGAAAATATGTCTATTTAGCAACAGCAGAACTTATAAAACCACACTGTGTCATGCAAAGCAGCACAGTAGAGACCTAAATATAAATGGTAGCATTTCTGCATCTGCTGCAGACTTTGAGCATAATAGTGCAAGTTCACACATTCATCTACAAGCTATTGTCTTCTAGAAGTTCCCCATTCACACAGTTCTAGATATAGAGACATTCAGCAACCCATTTTGGCCACAGCCATAAAAACCTGAAAGAAATATGGGCCGAATCAGGATTGTATAAGTCGCATAATGAACCTTATTAGATGGTGTGTAAAAAAGTGTTCCCAAGAACTGTGGCCCCCTTCAAATGTCTCTGGGCCCCCACTGAGAATAGCTGAGTTAAACTATTTTTAAACATTTTTCCATTGAGTACACTGCTTGGCATTCTCACCTAGAGAAAAAAAAACAGCAATGACAACAATAAAAACCAAGTCTACTAAAATACAGAAAGAGAAACATTTAGATTTAGATTAGGCATCCTTCAGTCTCGAGAGACTATGGTAAAAGAGAAACATAGGCTATCACAAATGGCATGCAAGGTTTTTTTAAAATATGGTTTTAAGAATTGAACTAATAGCTAATGAAAGAAATGATGTACTGTTAATTTACTGTTTTTAGTTTTTAATACTGTGTTTTGAATGATATAAGTCCCCTTGGGTCCTTTTTAGGAGAAAGGGGGAACAAAAATATTTTAAATAAATAAAATTTTAAAACTGTAGTTAAGCCATGTGTGATGAGAGTTCTGAACCAAGAATGCAAATGAAAGTGTTAGGAGGAGACACATAGGTTCAAAACTCAATCTCAGTTGAACAAACTACAGTTTAACAAGCTAGGCAAGTTATGTCCCAACTGGAATCAAGTGAAGGGGAGTCATAACATGCCTGAGAACAATGCATTCATACAGTCATTTCCACTTGCTTTATGTCTCCACAACTGTAGTTTTCAATTTCACTTTCTTTAGAGCACATCATCATAAAAAAGGACACTTAAACCAAACTGCGTCAGCAAGTTCCCCAGCTCAAATCTCATCATGCTGTACATTCAAGAAATACTAAACACCATTATTAAATATTTCCCTTATGCAGTCTAGTGCTACCATTAAGACATCTGAAACATTCTTAGTCCAGCAGCTGAATGATGAGTTTCTCCATTTTAGAGATCTGAAAAATTACATACCACATAATGCTCAGTATACATATTACATGACCAAAAGCAGTTATCTTGAACACAGGCCTACTGCAGATGAACAATATACTTGAGCAAATATATAAACAGCAAGCTTGAGGAATAACTTGAGCTGTTCTAGTTAATCTTTCAAATATTTTATCAAACTGCAGTGCTCACAATTCAAGTCATCCAATTAACCTTGTAATACTTTAAATATCCACTCCCCCCCAAATATCACTTTAGCAACACAGACACAAACATTTACATATACTATTTCAGATTACAAATTACTAAATGTAAAATATAATTTTCTAAAAGCCTACTAGAAAAAGAGGAAAAGTACAATATGCCAAACACGGGATGATTTCTAATTTCAAGTATCAGGTTTTCTTCTGGAATGAAAACTCTGATGAAAAGCTAGAAATATTTTACATTCTCAGAAACCAGCATCAGAGTTTGAGGAATTTTCTTTGTAGATCTGGGAAGGTGATCAATTAATTTCCTGGTCAATTCTTCTCCACGAACTCCAAATATTCCATGAACTCAAAATGCCTCTCTGTAAATGGCAGCCTTCCTTTCTAACTACAGTATATCACAGTGTCATTCAATAACTAAGGTCAACATACAAGTATACACTTTGTTTTTCTTTTATGAAAAGGAAGCTTTTCACCTGCACCTTCGTGCTGTATGGATGAGTTAATCCTTTAAATGTAACAAATGAGTTAAGTGTGTTATTTTTGATTTTTGCTTTTAACTGCTTGAAATGAACTTGTTAACTGCTTAGATTATATATGCTAACTGCACAAAGTATTTCCTATGTAGAAATTAAAAAGACTTGTTAGATCACTTAAAGTAGTATTCATATATCACTGCATAATGAGGATGTGCAGCTCAGTCAGAAGTGGCATGATTTGCATGCAAAAGATCCCATCTATAAGATCTATAGAAAGCTATAAATAATATCTGGTTGCAGTGGCTTTGAATGTTGCTTTATAATATAATAAACAGCTAGAGGCTTTCTAATTAGCACTTTTTCTCTATTACAATTCTCTGGTTTAATACCTTAAAACACTTAACCGTTACTTGACCTGTCCATTGGCAAGCTTTTCCCACATAGCTTTTAAATGCAGTTTTGGGAAAATCAGCTTTATAAGCTCTTAGTATTCAAATATTCAATCAATTTGTCTACTGAAATGCCACAATGCCAAATATAAATATTCAGAAGTCAGGTATTTCAGCATAATGAACATACAACTTTTATAGTGCTACAGCAGCAATGCCCACATGGTGAATTTCAGGGTCTTAGGAATGTTAAAACCTCAAATGAAAAAGTGTTTGCACCCAGAATGTTTAGAAACAATATCCTAAGGGGGAGGGGAGACAGAAAACAGAAGTCATAAGATGGGACACAGAGCCAAGGCTAACCATGTCTTGGGTCAGGCACTGATGAAATCCTGCTGGAACAATTCCCCAAACCCTACAGCTCATCACACCAGGAAACTTTAGAACTGTGCCAAGATCCTTCAAGGCTTAAGTGTCAGATATAAGAGAGCCAGCTATATTCCAATTTCTGATGGGCAACATGAAGGCCTGCCAACCTCAGTTTGAGCAACTCATCGCTAAAAGAACATACTAGGGCTAGGTTACCCCTTCACTGGGTCATTCTTTGCCTTCATCCCTGTTGTCCACAACTGCTTCTCCAACTGTTTAGCTCCTACTTTGTCCATAACTATAATCTTAACTTTCTAGCTGTTGGAAATTGATCCTGTGAGGTATCAAATGTCAAATGTGTGTCTCACCAGTTTTTCACATGAGAATCAATGAATGATCACAAGTGAGATTGTACTAACTCTAAACAAAGAAACTCATTAGATATTTTAACTTGTAAAATCCTGGCAATATTCTTTCAGGGTGCAGAGAAGCAAGCATGCTCCAATTAAGTCTCTCAGCATGATACACAGCATTAGTCAAGAATAACACGTTTTCCATACCTCTTTCAACTTGCCTAAATTTTGTTTAAAAAGCAGCTAAGAGTAGCAGACCCAGATGTTGTCAGACATAAAATCTGGGGACTCAAGTTTGGCAATCACTATTCCAGTTGCATATTGAAGCACCAAATGTTTTAATACTTCAAAAAGGACTCCGTCTGGGTAATTAACCACTATTTAAGAAAACCTGCACTTCCTAATAAATCTGCAGCTATGTAGCCAGCAGCAGAGTAGACCTTCAGTATTTGTATGTTTTTTCAACATAAAGCATCCATAGAACTTGCACGTGCAGTGCATATTTTAAAAAACAGGTAATCTGTACATTTTTATATCATATCCTTCCAGGCAATGTTCCTCCGGGTAACCACCCCAAAGGAGGCCAGAATATCATCTATGAAAAACTGGGCCTTCTCAGCAGCTGCACCAGCTTTGTGGCACCAGCTCCCACTTGAACTGAGCCTGGCCTCTCCCTTCCTACTTTTAAGAGCTTGCTGAAGACACTGCCCTACAATGCAACCTGAACTGAATTTTCTTTTGCCTCGTGTCCTGAAGCTTTCAACATCTATACTTCACGCTGTGTGTGATTTGAAGCTACTTAGTTTTGTTGGGTTTCTTTATTCTTTCATTTTGTCACTGCCACTGCGATTTATTTTAATGTGTAGCACCCAGAAAAGTGCTCCATAAATATAGCAGTATATAAATGAATTAAATAAATGAAAGCCCTACTTCAACATACAGAAATGATCTCCTGAATTCGATGCCAAGACTAACTTACAATGTAAATGTTTTCAACTGTTAAGAATGGTACACAGCCTTACCTTTTAGCAGAGGCAGTGGAGTTAACTCAATAGGCTTTCCCTGAGACCGAAACTGGGAGGAACTTTGCGACCTCTTCTGCCTGGCTTTCCTGACGGACTTCCGAGAAAATCCGTCTACTTTATCCACTGATGGAGGAGTGGTTGGTGCTGAGGACATATCCCTACTGAAAGGAATAAATATTATTTAGTATCACCATTTTTTTAAAAAAACATCCATTTTGGACACTTTGCTTCTCCCTTAAAGATTATATTATCCCAAAAAAAATCACCTTATGTGCATAATTAAAGACGTGTTGATAGGATAAGCACAAGTTAGTAAAGCCTAGCATCCTAGTTTAATTCTTGTCAAGCTACTTCACATGTAACTACTACACTGATCACACATGTATCCCTCGACAATAGGAAGCAATAAAGTCTTGCAATGTATATCAAGATGCACAACCATCCCAGTTAATATTGTCTTTTATTCTCCCTTATTTTTTCACATCTTCTTTTTGGAGTGCATTTTAAACTTCTGTTTCATTGATCACTGCTATCCTGCCAGTAGTAAAGAAAGCAAATTCATAGTTTGTTTAAAGCAACTCTTCTCGCTATTCCTGAAATTGTGTACTGCTAAAATACAATGTTAAAAACATATATAATGTAACAACTGTTATACAGGCTTACCATTATCTCATTTGGTGTAAAGCAAAGCAAGTTTAATAATGAATTTCATTAGATCATTATCATGCTAACTGCCTATGATGTTCAATAACGTATTACTTATTTCTTTCTTGCTTTCAAAATTACAGAAACTGGGAAAAATACTGTGTAACAAACAGTTGGTCCAATTCCTTGTCCTAAGACAACAGACCCTAAAGCTAGGTCACCTCTCTGCAGCCATCCTTTTTAACCCCCCTGGAAAAATCCCATAAATTCACAAAGAAATGTGTTCTTCTAACAAACAACTCTTAGAACTGAAAGTGTTCTCTAAATGATTAGCCAGTCTACTTTCTTCTATGTTATATGTGATGTTCCTTGTCTAATAGTCTGTCCTTCTTAAAAGTAGAGACAGGGAGTTAAGGAAAGGACTAAGTTTGAATTTTTGAATATTAAACACAGCTTTTCCACATGTCGTGTTTTAAAATAGTAATAGACGTAATAGCAAGATTAAAAACTTTGAATAGTCCCAGATAATTAGTTCAAGACATATTTAACCATACCTACTGTTCACCATCGTTATAGATCTTTAGAGAACAAAATATAATTCTCCAATGGTAAAAGACTGCTGGTTTCATTTTTTTCCTGCCAATTTAAACACTTCCTGCCATATGTTGGTCTAAAAATGGAACTTTGTATTTGAACATTAATGAAGACTTTTTAAAAATTGGCAATTGGAATTTGCCTGAATTTAACACCTGGGAAACCCATAATGGCATGCACAAAAGCTAGCCTCAGCCTCTGCAAAGAATCACATGGGCCCTTGATATTCAACAGTAAAAAAGCTTTATCTACAACAATCCTTATTTCATCAATTCATCAGTCTCATGGCTATTGCTGCATTGTTCACTGAATTACACAGCCTAGATGAAAAGATGAATGACTGCATCATTATTACAGTTATCAATTTAAATGTTACATATATCCTGAATATGTGAAGTCTCCAAGGAAAAATGACAGTTATTTATATCTAATTGGTACAAAAAGAGTCTAATAACATGTGTAGGAAGTTCTACACACAACAAAGGATATTACTTGGGGGTCCATTGCTAACATGAAATTCTCTACACAAAACCACTAGAACAGCACAGTTCTTCTGTTTATTAAACGCCAATGAGTTCAGAAGATCTCACAGCTAAGTCAGGTGTGCCTAAGACTGGGTCTTGCTGGAAACAGTTTAGATTGTACAACTGATGGTTTTCTCTTTACACAGGAGCCCAAACCTTAGAATGTCTCCACCTATCCAGAAATCTTTTCACAGCCTGAAAATGGAACTGCTAACCTTCTTAATGGCCAAGCCTTCAAGCAGATCAATTCAGCTGCAGGATCATTGTGTCACCAAGAAGCTTTGGTGACACTTCTCAGGTGTAAATTTAGCAACTCTGCCTCCCCCGCTGCCTTCTAATTATTAAAATCTAATTTGGCCTAATAAAAATAGGATGCTAACATCTTCTGGAATTTCTCTTTCGGCCAACCCCTTTCTTTGCTTTTATAAACTCTTAATTCAACAAGCTTTGGCAACCTTCAGCAATAAACAGTGTGCATGGGAGAGTGGCTTCCTCCCTCCCCCTTCCAGATCAGCTGCTCTTTTGCCTATGCAAAAAAGTCGAAATAAAGCAACGGCCTTGATTTATTGTTTGGGGGGGAGAGGGAAGTGTTTATAAACGTTAAGTTCCTCTCTTGTCTTCTTTGCTCGCCTCCTTGGCTCTTGGTTATCAACCACCGGGGATAACGGTAGGAAAAGAAAGAGCGATTATTTCCCAGTGGCAAGGAAAGGTCCTGATGGGGAAGAGTTGGCGGGTTTGCAATGCAACAGATTCGGGCAGGAGAGTCAGGAGTGAGAAAATGCCGATGGTCAGAAAAGGGAAAAGGAAACACCACCAACACCAACACCCCGCTTCCTCCGGAGAAAGAGGAGGCGCTGACACCAAGGACCGGGGAGGGGGGGGGGAGAGCAGCAAGGCGGCCCTGCCGCTGGCTTCCCGGGATGTCATTCTCCAGCCCCAAAACACCGCGGGAAAAAGAGCCCAGGTCTATCCAGGTTCATAAATCTCTAGCGATCCCTCTGCCCTGCCCACCCTCCCCCATCCCAAATTTCTCTTTCTCTTTCTGAGGGCGGCTCGGGAGTTTTACCTTGAAGCCTCCTGGTCGAGAATCCAGAGACAAGAAGGAGAGAAATCAAGGAGGGAGCCGGTCCCTGGAGGAGGCGAAGGCGGCGAGGGCGAGCCGGGCCGCGGCGTGTCTCTCGTGGGCGTCCCTCTCGGGTTCCGCGGTGCGGTGCCTGCCGCCGCCGC